TTTATTTAGATATTTATAGAATCAAAATGACAAACCATATTCATTAAAGCTGGATTATTAAAAAATGACATCATATTAGGTCCACCACTTGCATCACCTAATAATGTACCAAACATGGATGATAGATTTGGACCCTTCATATAAATAGATATTCTATAGAAAATTTATAATCAACTATGAACTTACATTAGTTTGATTAGTACCAGTTGCAGTTCCACTCAATTGATCTTCACAATGTTGTATTGATTGTTTATAATGCTCATTATTGGGATTAAGTGTATGAGCTTTTTTATAAGCATCAAGTGCTTCATGTACTTTATTCAATGATAGATATATGACACTTTATATTTAGCAAAAAAAATCTTATTATATTTATTTGCACAGAAAAATAAACAATGGGAACATACCCAAATCTTTCATAAACTTTACTATAATTTGAATTGATTTCAATTGAACGAAAATAATCACTTAATGCCTGATCATTATTACCTAATTTCAATAAAATGTTCTAGATAATATGCCCGAAATTTTTCATGATCGAGTTCAGCAAACAGATTATTCCAAAGTCATTAGTTTACGATAAAATATTATGCATTATATTTGAGTGGTTCTCAAAAGAATATTGCTATAATGTCAATATAGCAGCTCAAAAGTTACAGAGAATACCACCTGGTAAACATTCAAAAGTTAAACATAGTATGCCAAGGTATTGGAATTAAAAACAATACTAAATTAATGCTAACACCTAAGCATTAATTAATTCTAATGCGAATAATACTTAAGCTTTATACTTAATCATTAATGCTAATTCTAATCCGACATCTCTAATCCTTAACAAAACATGAAATAGTTTTACCTATCTCAGAATACGGTCCTCAAGACATTAATAATACATTTCTAAAAATATGTCTAATACATAATTGTGGTCTTTTCATGAATAGTAATAGAATATAATGATTTATTATAATATTCCCTTTTCATAATAACTAAATTATAGTATCGATGAATAGTATTTATTTTATGAAGCTTTCTTTTCGAATATTTTACACTAAAGTAATGGTTATTTATCCATTTCGAAAGCTCGATCGAAATACTTATTCATTGGTTGATATAGTATGAATAATTTCATTCAATATGCGCTATACAAATTTCGGTATTTAATAAGTACTTTGTATTTTACAAAATTAGTCATATATATTTAAAATGCAAGACATTAGATGACTTATTCTTGTATGTATAGAATTAAGCAAAAAACACAACAAGCACCTTGAATATATATGTATATAGGGAGAAAATAACCAGTATTTTATTCCATTTCTTTAGTTGCACATAAAAAATCCAACTATGAAGTTATATGGAATATTATTTATTGTTATTTTTCTCATTGATTTATGTACAGCTCGTGACAAATTTCTTGATCGTAGATCTCTTCAAGATTATATTGATAGTTTTATTGATATTGGTAAACTTAAAAATGAAGGAGTATTAAGTCTTAATGGTACAACTCTTCGTAAAATTTGGTCTTTTTTTAAAGCAAAATATCATCGTTGGTATTCATCAACTGGTTAGTTCACAAATGAAACTATTTGATTTTAAGAGAAAAAAAATTGTTCTTTTGTCTTTGTTATTGTAGGAGAAGAGGGAGCACGTCTTCATATATTTCGTGACCATCTTAAATATGTATTAGAATCAAAT